GTGGTGCTCCATGGTCCCAAAATGTGACTTAATAGTCACAGTGGTGCTCCATGGTCACAAAATGTGACTAAATAGTTACTGTGGTGCTCCATGGTCCCAAAATGTGACTAAATAGTTACTGTGGTGCTCCATGGTCCCAAAATGTGACTAAATAGTCACAGTGGTGCTCCATGGTCACAAAATGTGACTAAATAGTCACAGTGGTGCTCCATGGTCACAAAATGTGACTTAATTGTAAGAGCCCATGTAGTAATATCCTTTATACAGTCATGTTGGTTTGTAATGCAGTGACATCTGAGGGGTCAGAGGTCACTGACATTCAGCCTTGTCCCTTACATGCAGAGATTTCTGCAGTCTCTGAATCTGTTGATGATATTATGGGATGTAGATGTGAAATCTGAAACTCTTGGACTGTTTGTCCTCACAGTTTGTATCAAAGTGTCCGTCCTGAACAACTGAGCCTTTAGAGGGCGCTGCTTTCACTCTGCTACCTGTTCACCTGTTTACCTGTTCACCTGTTTACCTGTTCAGCTGTTCAGCTGTTCACCTGTTCACCTGTTTACCTGTTCAGCTGTTCAGCTGTTTACCTGTGCAAGGTCACACACAGGTGTTTCTCACTCTGTTGTTGCTGCTGTCACAACTTTATTGAAATTTGTCAAATCAAATTCAGACTGAGTATATTTATTACAACAATACTGTTCATCAGTTTGAACATAAAAAATCTTGTCTGTACAGTATATTTGTGTGTGTGTGTGTGTGTGTGTGTGTGTATACTGTGTATTTATATATTAAGTGTCTGAGGTGTGTTTGACTTGGAGCCAGCAGAGTTTCAGTATCAGAGTTTTGGCTCGGACTCGCAGCAGCATGTGAACACATTAAACCAACAGACTGTTTAACAGCAGAGACACACAGAGACGTCTCTGCTGAGACCTGAAGACAGAGGACTGCGTCCTGATTGGACCGTTTCACAGGTAGGACCGAGTCCACATTTCATCCCTTCATTAAAGGTTTCATCCTGACTCAGGCTCCACTGCCAGATGTTTTGATAAATGATGAATGGATGAGTCGCCTTCAGTCAGATGATGATGTGTTTTCTAAAATTCAGATGAATGAATGAAACAGTTTTTTATCTTCAGTGTTTCAGCTTCATGACATAAATGATTATATACTGTCTATAGTTCTGATGTTATTTACGTCTTTATGTTATCTTATCAGTTAATGTACAGTGTTTTAATGTTTGCTGTATCGTGTGTTTATGCTGTTATTTTATCACGTGATGATGTCATTTTATGTTGTATTTATGTTTTGTGTGCTAGCATCTCATGTCAGGTTGTGAGGAGAGGTTTGAGTGATGTCATGATGAATGAACTCAGTGTCACAGGTTACAGAGTTAAAGTGAATCTGTGGAGCTGTTTTAACGTAGATGATGTCATCATGTAAAAGTCGTTGGTCTTTGTCGACATGTTCGTCCAGTTGGTCAGAGCTGTAGAAATAAAACACGGTTTTTGTACAGGTGGTCTCAGTGAGTGCGAACAGTTTGGATTGAGGGCGGAGAAAAGAAACACCACTGACCTCCATAACCTCTCTCACTGATCTGACATCCATCAGCTGCTGCTGCCAAAACCTGTAACTGGAGATCTGATGGGATCCACTGCTGCTGGATATCACAGAGAGACGTCTTCTGAGTCTTCACGTCTTCATCACTGACATTAAACTCAACAAACTGAATCTGATTCTCCAGAGTTCAGATCCAACATGGCCGCCGCCGCTGATGTGAATGTGGACGATTACAGTGTTTACAGTCACCTGTCTGATGAGGAGCTGTTGCAGATCGCTGTCGAGAGGAGCCTCTCTGACACACACCTCCCCTCAGGTCAGAGCTCATCATCATCATCATCATCATCATCATCATCATCATCATCATCATCATCATCATCATCATCATCATCATCATCATCATCATCATCAGCAGCAGCAGCAGCAGCAGCAGCAGCAGCAGCAGCAGCAGCACCTCCTCCCTGTGCTGCCCCAACCCGAACAAACCCAAACCCCGTACAGAGACACCCCGACCCTCCGCTTCCGTCACAGCCGTGTGTCCAAAACTCTGTCAACCCTCCAACAGGCCTGTTCCAGTTCATCTACAGAGGCATCAGGAGGTGAGACAGTCCGGACAGACCTGTCCAGAGAGGACGTAAACAACCAGTAAATATCTGTAAACAACCAACAAACATCTGTAAATATCTGTAAACAACCAACAAACATCTGTAAACAACCAACAAACATCTGTAAACAACCAACAAACATCTGCAGACTTCTCACAGACCAGGTCCCAGAGGACTCAGCAGGGGTCAAAGATCTCTGACAGAATCTAATTTAAAATCAGGATCTTTGAGTCCTGCTTTGTCAAACAGACGACCTGTTAGAGGACCCTCCTTCAGGTGGTGCACCTCTCTTTGTACATTATGGGATGGAGGTGCCTGTACACCCACCTTCTTCCGTTTATCCTGTCCCCACAGACGGACTCTGAGTCCACAGAGACGTTCATCAGATACCTGTTTAAACTCCAGCTGAGGGTCTCCACTCTTCAGTTCGGTGGACGGAGGATCTGCTCCAGCTGCTTCCTGCTGACCCAGCAGAGTCCTTCAACACATGTTGGCTGTTTACCAGATGTTTGTTTACAGTGTCTTGTTGTTGTCTACCCCAGCTTCCTGTCCTCGTACTGAGTGTTGTCTCTGTCTTTGTCTCAGCGAGTTCAGTCCTCTGCAGTCTCTGATTATAAACGGAGACATAGAGGCTCTGAAGGATCTGGTCAGACGTGGGTCCAGCTGTCTGACGGAGCCGAACGATGACGGCTGGATCGCTCTTCATGAAGCTGCTTATTATGGACAGCTGCAATGTGTCATCGTCCTCGTCACAGGTGAGGAGCTGGTCTCTGGTCGTCTGATCAAAGAGACAGTTTGAGTTAGTTTGTTCTCTGGTTTTTCATGTCGACATCATGATTGACCCCACAGTGAACTACACAACACTCTTCATCATGACCAAACCTGCTTCATCTCTTCACTCCAGTAACAGAGAACGTGTGTCTCACAGGGATTTGTGTTGGGTCCTGTTTTACTTTCTATCTTTAGACCCTTTTACTGTTAGTGAACAGTGTGATGTTTGTTGGTGGGCGGGGCTTAGCTGGAAGCAAAACAGTTCTCCACAGACATTAGCTAGCGCTAGCTAACAAGTTGTGTTGTCTTGTTCTAGACGATGGAGGAAGAGGATGTGAGTGGTGCGTTCAGAAACACTCATTGTGAGTGTGGGAGCGCACTCTGACACAAACTGGAGCGTTGATAAATTGGGAGCGCTGTCTGAATGTAGCGTTGGGTTATCCAGAGCAGCGCACTCTCAGAGTGGCAGAGCGCACTCTGGACACTCTGTCTGTGGAGACGGAGCAGCAGAGCGCCGAGCGGAGTGAATGTGTGATTAACTTAACCGTTGGTTCATTCATGTAGAAATATAACGCTGCGTTTCTTCCACCAACAGGGCTCTCATTTTAGTGTAGAGCGTCAGACTGAATTTACCAACGCTCCATGTCAGGTCACTCACTCTCCGGGACCGCCAGTGTTACTTGAATAAGTAAACATTGACCAACGGGACCAGACTGGCCGACCCGTATGCTCTCACTCAGTGGATGGATGATGTCACAGGAAGCCAATCTTACAAAGGAGGACCACACTTGTTTGTTTTGCTATGGAAGCTAACGTTAGCTAATGTGCTAAAAAGTTAGCGTTGCAGAGAAATCCAATATTCCTCTTAATCCCTCCCCAGTTTCTGATGAGGTGGAATGTTGTTGGCAGCTCTTTATCCTTCGAACATTTTTATTGCATTTAATTCCCGGTGTCTAATTAATTCTTGACTTGTAAATAAATATATTTTCCCCTTTTTTTCGATTCCTCTGCTCTGTGCTCTCTGTATTACTCAGTTTTATTGGATTATTTTTCACTGTAAACTGTAAACAGTTCTGTAAACTGTTAGTTCAGGTGTTTTGTCATTGTCTGTTTTTCTCCTTCAGTCGAGAGGAGGTCGTCGAAATGTTTCAGGAGAGGTCGAGAAGCCTCATTTTTATTTCTTTTTTACTATTTAGATTTTATACAGTTTTATGTGTGCATAGAAAAACAAATAAATCATCTTTTCCACTATCCAGCACTTTGGTTCATGACAGGATGATTCTTAAAGGAACACTTCACCCTCTAAATGACCGTTTGTACATCAGTTACTCGGCCCCGTGTTATGTTAAATTTCTGAAGAAGATGCTGAGCTGAAGCTGCTGATGAAACGTGTGCTCACAAACTCTGACACAACTCGTTCAGTAAAACCCAAGTCTCATTCACGAGAGGCTTCTATTGACAGTGTGGTTTATTTTGATTTTAATTTTAATTTTTGAACCAGTCATCCGTCATAATTCTGGACTCTTCAGAAATATTACTGACATTTTTATGTACGCTTTAATTGTTCCAACCAAACCAACAGTTTTATCATTTATGACGTTTCTGGCAGCCGGCGTCTTCGTTACATTACTGCCTCCTGCTTTATTTAATCTCTGTCAGTGTCCACGTCCTCTGCAGTTGTTTATTCAGCCCAACCTGCCGCCACTTGGTTTGGTGAGAATGTGATCAGAACAATAAAAACAAATCCAAAGTTTGACCTTTGACCTCTTGCGGTCTGCAGCTCATCCTGACTCGGTGAACAGATGCAGTTTGAGGAATCAGACGGCTCTGCGGCTGGCTGCGGGCCGAGGAAAAGTTTCCTGTGTCGATTTTCTCCTGAAACACGGAGCCGACCCAAACATCGCCAACAAGGACCAAGAGACGCCACTGTTCTCAGGTGAAGTGACATCACAGCTGACATCACAGCACCCACTGAAAAGTGCAGTGATGTCACAGTTGTAAAGAGAAACCTAGGATCTTGCAGCAGTTTATATGGAGAGATTCATGTTCTGTCAAACATGTAAAGTTTGTACACGTTTAGGGAGTATTCAGCTGGACACCTTCAGAAAAATGAAACAAACCTCCTCTTGTTTCACTGTCGTTGTTTTCAGCCTGTGAGAACCCGAACGATGCCATCGTGGATCTGCTGCTGAAGTTTGGAGCTCAGGTGAATCGCTGCAGCACTCAGGGAGTGAGTCCTCTTCATGAAGCCTGCAGACATGGACATGTGAAGATCTGCAGGACGTTACTGGAGTCCGGAGCCAATCTACACACCAGGAACATCTACGGCATCCAAGCGTTCTTTACCGCCGCACAGCACGGACACGTCGACGCCCTGCACCTGCTCGCCAAGAAAGGTCAGCCCTACAAACCTGTCCGCAAACTATCTTTCGTGTCTGTCAGGAGCTGATACGAAGGTGTTTCTTAAGGTGTTTTTGTCCCTCAGGTGCAGATATAAATGGACAGGCACAAGACGGAGCCACGCCACTGTATGAAGCCTGTAAGAACGGTCACTTTGCTGCTGTGGAGGTGTTGCTGTCTCTGAAAGCCGACGCTAACCGATCCACGAAGTCTGGCCTGCTGCCTCTTCATGTGGCTGTTCAGAACGATCACACACGGTCTGAGACACTTCCTGTCTGTCACTGTCTCTCCTTTATCAACCATTCTGTGTTTCACTGATACTTTCTAATAAATCAACAATATTTTAAGAGCTTTCAGAATAAACACCAAAGACGTCTGAGGTCTCAAACTGTAAAGTAAACACCTGTTTGTTTGTCTGGAGCCAGAAGTTCAGGCTCAGGGTTCTGCTGACCCACAGTCAGCCTGTCTCTGCTGGTCGTTTCCAGGTGTTTGATCCTAAATCCTCACTGATCTTTTGTATTTCCAGAATCGTGTCGCTGCTGATCCCGGTGACCAGCAGAGTCAGAATCCGGACCAGCGGTATCAGTCCTCTGCACATTGCTGCAGAGAACAACAGTGATGACATCATGGAGCTGCTGATCGAGTCCGGCTTTGACGTTAACACCAAGCTGTCAGAGGACCGCTCCAAGATGTACGAGGACCGGCGGAGCACGGCACTTTACTTCTGTGTCTATAACGGGAACCTCGAGGCTGCTGAGATGTTGCTGGAGGCTGGAGCTGACCCCAACCTGGACGTCTTCAACCCGCTGTTCATAGCCGTCCGGCTCTGCCGGATGGACATGGCAACGCTGCTGCTGAGCTACGGCGCCAACGTCAATGCTCAGATCGCCACCCAGCCATCCTCGTTCCCGGCGGCTATCCTGCTGAGAATGGAGTCTCTGTCCATGCTTAAACTGCTACTGGACAATGGCTGCGATGCTCAGTCCTGCTTTGACTGTCTGTATGGCCAAAAACCACATCCTGTCATGCCGTCACGCCGTCCCATTGAAGAAATGCAGGTCAGTAGAGAAGCACCGCACAGTGCTGCATGAAGCCGAATCAGAAATGTCCAGCACAAGAGTCTCTGTCTCTGTCCTGTTTCAGTTCTGCGAGGCCGTCTCCAGCCCGACTTTCTGCCATAGCGCTGGTCCCATCATCTCACTGATGCTGGACTACGTCAGCCACGTCCACCTGTGCTCTCAGCTGCAGGATGTCCTGAGGAGTTGCAGCGACTGGATGCCGATCATACTGAAAGCTCGTAAGCACAACAAAAACAATGCTGACAATTGACACGTTGGTAAGCCCCGCCCCTTTGTGATGCTCCATCAAGCTGGATTTTAGAGAGAAGAGCCTGCAGTTTGTGTTTGAAGGATAAATCAGGGAGTCAAATTGACTCATCAGCAGAAACAGGTCAGAAAGATAAAGACAGAAGCTAAAGGCTAACATTCAGATCACAGTGTGACAGTGAACCAACTCATCACTGATGATAGAGACAGAAGACGATGGATTTAAAGGGAAACGTTGGCATTTTTAACCAGCTGTGTGGCATCACAGTGTGTGCTGATGAACAATGTTTGGCTTCCCCTCATGCCGCCGCCAGCACCCTGCACGGAGCATGGAGCTCTGGGGGCATCTGCACACACTGTGATGTCACAGAGCTGGTTGAATATCTGTAAAGTTTCCCTGCTTCCCTTCACTGGTTCCTGTACAGCAGGTTGGTCTTCATTTAGCTAGCTAGCAAGCTAACTCTACACTTTAAGGGTGGTAGTGGTAGTAGGAGCAGGCTGACGGCTGAGCATGCCGAAATGCTCATCTTCTTAGAAAAGAATCTCCACATCATGTTTTTTCCAAGACGAGCAAGGTAAGGAGAAGGGACACTACAATATTAAGCTTATCAATATACCGTTGCCTCTCTGGTAGGCACAGCGTGTTAAAATAATCCTTTGCCATGTTATTATTAGCTAGCTATAGCTAATAATTATTAGCTAGCTAGCAATTCAGTCGTGGAGACTTGAAGACGCAGCTGCGGAGGCAGAATGACAGCAAACGAGCGAAGAAGCGGAGGGGAAAGTGGGCCTCGTTTCCCCTTTGGGGGCTTGGCTTTCAGATTATGATACGTTGCGCTCTTTCTCTATTAAAGATCACTGCCTCTGTCTGATTGGCTGGCTGAGCTGGGGGCGGGGTCTCTCACCTGTCCTCTGTGTTTCATGTCCAGGTCCTCCTCATCCTCTGATGCAGCTCTGCAGGTTGAAGATCAGACGTCAGGTTGGAGTCCGAAGACTCAAACTGCTCCACATGCTGCCACTTCCTGTCAGACTCATCCGCTTCCTGCACTATGACATCACCTGCTCATTCACCTGAACTCACCTGCTGTGGTGTGGTCGCACCACAAAGTGACGTGTAAATATGTTGATGATGTGGGAGCGCTCGCAGTGCTCGGTGGTGGACTGTTGTAGCTAACGAGCTAACCGCTAATGTTTTGTTAAGAGAGAAAATAAAGGTCTCCAGTTAGCTGGTCTGTTAGCATGTTAGCTTAGCTGAGTTTAACTGAATTTGAAAGACTTCTTGTGTTGGTGCTGACTTCACTGGTTGATCTGTTGTGTTGTTGCAGTTGAACTGGTCGCACTGGTTTTACACCACACTGAGCACTGCGTACACACAAAACAAGGCCTGAAAGAGGCGGACGCCGCTTCACACGCAGAAGGTGTGATCTTTAAAAACAGATTTGATGGAAGAAACTTTGGTGCATGCTAATGAAGCTTTTGGCGATGTGGACGGTGACGTCGAAGCCTGACTGTAGACACTGTTGAATATTTTTTGGCTTTTGTCCTTATGTATATTTTCAGTCTGGATCCTGTGCACTGTTTTATAAGTGAGACTGCCGGTGATTTTAGACTTGAAGGAGACAGAACTGAATGTTTGTCAGTGACCTTTGACCTCTGTTATATGATTTTTAAAACGTGTCATTAAAGGTCACACAGAAATAAAGCTGCACATCAGCAGACAGAGGTCTCACTCTGAAGCTTCTCTCGTACTTTTGTTCAGTGTGTGTGTGTGTGTGTGTGTGTTGTGAACCGGGGTGTAGACGCTCGCTGTGTGATCAGAAAGTTCACCTTCAGATTAACGACGTCGCTGTCAGCGCTCACTCTGTTTTATATGTTTTTATTTCATGCTGAGGCCTTGTGCAGCGCCGCTCCGACCCATCTGCTCAGTTTACAGCAGCTGAGTCTAAAAATAACACACACACACACAGTTAAGTTTAGGCCAAAAATAAAATGGGGTTTCAACTGGTGGGTGGCGGTCCAAAAGTGGGTCATGGGTTCATTCTGAATGGACCACAAGTGACTCATAAACACTGAGTTTGTAAAAAACACACTTTATTTTTAGACACAGTGAATTTCCTGCACAGAGCTTTTATTTTGAAGCGCTGTTTCCTGCTGTAGAGTGAGTGACTAACAGACAGCTCAACGACATGAATATATTAAAGTGTTTGGACCCTCAGCTCATGACTCAGTAGAAATGTGGACCAGTTGGGAACCAGTGCCAGGCTACAGATTTATCACAACATGAAACTTTAATATGTCTGGATGACATCATTCTCACCCTCTGGCTCCGGCTCAGGATTCCTGGAACCTTGATGCTGTCGAATGAACTGTGAACTTTGACCTTTAGTTCTGTTACAGTCAGGAAATAATTCATTTAATTAACAACCTGCTCTGTGATTGGTTCATCTGAATCATCACAAACATCACATCAGTTATTACTGTGAAAGTATTTAATGATTATTGATCAGATGTGTCGTAGTGAAGCTGCTGGATGTTGGACACAGGTGTCCCCCTGTCCTCCAGGATGTTGGACACAGGTGTCCCCC